GAGATAGAGAGCGAAAGAGGGAAAGAGGGGGAAGAGAAAAGAGAGAGAGAGACATTTTTTTTGGTAAGTGTTTTACGGCGCTCGCAAATCATAAATGATAAATTATAGTCACATGAGTACGCGGGACACTAAACTTTCTCTGCTGGTATGAAATTCTGAATTTTGGCCGGGTGGCGGCCGAAGCCTACTCTTTTCGATTTTAGACAACCAAGGGATCTTTAATGAGCGCAACTTGCACATGGGACCTCCAAGATTTTTCGCCCTTATCAGGGATGTGGCTGAAAGACAGCAGTAAGAAGGAGCCAAGGAGTAGCAGTAGAAAGGCTGCAGAAAGAGTCAGGAGCCCAGAGGAGGGGGCAAAGGAGGTGAGGGGTGGGGGCAGAAAGTGGAGACGAAAGCAGACGACAGAACATTGCTAGAGAACAGGAAAGGAGGTGAAAGGAGACAATTTTAGAGAAGAAATCGTTTCCGTCGCTACCTGAATTCAAACCCGAGACCTTTGAATTAGAGGCGAGCACCTTACCGAGAACCCTCTGTTTCTACATGAAGGTTTCTGAACTTTAAGCTGTAAAGACTAGAAAGAAAATAAAAAACACTAAAGAATAAAAAACAACAACCGTGTATTCTATACCCATCAATTGTAAGACTCAAAGAAACCATAAAAGAAGAGATACAAGTCCAAAAAAGACAATGACCGAAACAAAAAACCCCAAAACAACCACTCCAAAACCTTCAGCTGTTATAACAATCACCAAAAACTAGGACACATAAACATGTCCACGGCCAATATTTCTGTAACATCACAACCCCCACCGGCCACATTTTTGCACCGAGTGAACCCTGGGCCAGGGTCAGGCCTGCAGTTTGTCTTGGCGGCAAAATCAGGTCTCTCGTCTGCTGAGAAAGGGCTGGCGTTAATCCTTTTGCAATCAATCAAACTATCCCTCAAACAACAAGCACACTGAAAAGCTGGTGAAGTTCAGATTTCAAACTGTTAGAGAGAGAGAGAGAGAGAGGGGGAGAGAGAGAGAGAGAGAGAGAGAGGGGGGAGAGAAGGAGAGAGAGAGGGACGAGAGAGACATAGTGAGAGAGAGAGAGAGAGAGTGAGAGAGAGAAGGAGAGAGAGAGAGGGGGGAGGGGAGAACAAGAGAGAAAGAGAAAGA